TCCGGCTGCCCAGATTTGTAACAGGTGGCAAGTGCATTAGCCGTCTGCATCCTCTACCGGAGGTCGAACAGGACGCGGTCGCTCGATCCTTCCCGTGAATCTCTCAACTCATCTCTGATTTGGCAGAGATGAGTTGGCCCCTACCAGAAATTCGTTGCGCCGCCCTTGGGGGCAAAAAACGGTGAAAGCTATCGTACGAAACCAGAGGGCAGCACACGATATGCGATCGCGCGACCCTGCCCGTGAGCAATCTCCCAACTCATCTCTGCATGGCAGTGTCCACTAGCGTCGACTCCGTGAGCAGAAGGTTCTGTTCACCGTTTGAGAGAAGGCGTAGAGGTTATTTCGCAATTTGGTTATTTTAAACTAAATTTTTTGTAAGAAATGGCAGGTGCAGGTGACGCTGATGATGCGAAATTCACAGGATTGTCAAAATATTTTAATAGCACGACAAATCGAGGAAGAGCGAATGTAAGTAACGTACAGATATACCCTTATATTATCGACTAACGACAACGTGTTTCGAATTCCATACGATTTCTGCACTGCAATTTCAATTTTCAGGTTGCAATGGCAACGTACGGCTGTCTTGCAGTAATTGGACTATACTTTGCACTTAAACCAAAGAGCAAGAAAGATGCTTAGTGCAGAAGCTCCTGCTGTTTGTGTGAGGTGTATCCCTTATGTAATTGTTTAATAGATATACTTTGTAATGTATTTCACGTTGTATAAAGTATATCATCAAAATAGACTGAAACTGGAATCGTACATATAACAATTCTTGACTAGTATGTTAGATATAACAAAAATGAAGCTGCATATGAATAAAATAGAAGGGACAGGTCGAATAACCTGCTTTACCGATTGCACCTTCAATAGTTGATAAAGAAACAATTTCTTTATTGAAAGAAAGAAATAGTTTGTGTATTGTTCTTTGCATTAATTTATACATTGACCGTTAAGATCTTATATACATAGTATTTCCATTCTTTCTTAACAAACCTTGATATGTTTTGACATTAATGTAAAAAGTGAATGCATGGAATAATTAGAATGATTATATATATATAATTACGTTGCCTTAAAAATCAATCACAGAATGATTTACGTTTTGAATGTGGCAGTTGCTACCACAAGGTTACCTGCTAAATTGGTCTTTGCTTTTTTGTGAAATTCTACAAATTTATTAACAAGTAGTTAGATATTGGATTGGTCAAAATAAGTCTTTTATTCATTTTCATTATACATTTATATTGTGTATTTATTTACAAGAAAGCGTACCTGAGTAAAGGAAAATTCTTTGAATTGAATAATTTTACAAACATACATAATTAATTAAACTTTTAAGCTTGCATTTGAAGCTTTGCAAATAATTTGTAAAAATCTGTAATTATATTAGCTTTTGTATACTGTCTGATACATGCTATGTGCCTCAATTAGCGAGTTATGAATTATAATGAATTGTAATAGTGAATTGCCTTTTCCCAGAATGAGATACCAGAGTTTCATTTAATGAACTTAAATCAAGTGAAGGCACATCTAGTCACAAATTAAGTTATGTGCTCCACGTTGTAAATTCTCCTTACATCAATTCATTTGCATGCGCCTAATCACTTAACGACAATTTTTTCTTCGGCGATCACTTCTGTTTTCAGCTTTGCTGCACAATTAACAAAATATTCCCCTTTCCATTGAAGCTTGTACGTATTATACAAAACTGAATACGATGCAGTTTTGGTACTCGCAGCAGGATACATCGAAGACTCTTTTGATACATTCGAAGACTCTTTTGATACATTCGAGAAATGCGCTTACATTTTCAAAATACTTAATAACTACTGTGTATGTATATCTAGAACGTGATAGAAATTTCGTGACTAGAATACATGGGCTCTTTCCGTAGAGCCACGAGAGCGTTTCTTTTCCCTCTGTCTAAGACTACGTGCTTAACGTAGATATTAGAAGTAGTTGACTTATCTACAGGTTTCAGACAACATTTCTTTTTCAGAGATATTGGAGTGACTATCTTTGGCTTGATAATAATATTTATCGTTAATTCATGAAGACGTTTAAAATTGTGGAAGGTTAAGAAATGTACAACTGTTAGCATCGCAACATTTATGTAATCATAACGCAGGCATCAGTCAAGTGAGCGAACAAGTTATGGAGATAAAGGAATCTGTCCTTAACTTCCAGTGTTTTGAGGGAACACACGAGTGATAAGTTCGAAAAAATATCTCGTTACTTGTGTGTTGTCGTATCTATATTTTACTGGAATACGTCTACCTTAAAACATTCTGACACCGAAGTGCAAGAGTTACGAGTAAACAAGTAGGATTCGTCAACAAAATTAAATTTTCCTGCGCATCCTTTTCAACCAAGCCGGAATGCACATGTATCTATTTTATCTCAACATCTCATCCGTCAAGATATTTCTTGCATTTTACATTAAGTATCCACAAAAATATCTCTGCATCTTTCGCTCCCTTCTGATGCGGTTTAATTTCCAAAGAGAATGGATTTATATTTCCCTCGATAATTTTACTCGAGTCTTCACAGTAGTTCCTTTAGCTATTTCCAGCGTTTCCGACGATTAAGAATTTATATATTTCTTCATTCTTATATTTACTATATAATATATTACATATTTATTTACAATATTTATGAGAGAGTTACGAGGCTTCAGTATCTTTACTTACACGATTTCTTATATTTCTTATCGCAGACTCAGATGGCGTAAAATATTAACAAAGGAAAAATGTTTGTTCGTGTTCTGTTCCTAATTGTTGTGGCGAAGATCCAACAGGTTCTGAATTCATGTCATTGTACAATTTATACATGAAAAGTGAAACTTGCTTGATTCGTTTATACTTTGAGAGTTTAGTTGAGAGAGCACCACTGTAATTAGAATTCAATGGAAAACAAGGGTTTACAATTTACTGTCTTTTTTTAATATCTCGTGACATTAGTGATTTTGATACCTTTTAAAATTTTGTATACAAGGGAAGTATATCTTTTCCATCATTCGTAATTCATTTTAAATCGGGTTTCGATAGTTTAATAATTCTCGAGATTTCATATCGTCGCAATTTGAATATAGCGCTGTTATATAAAAAGTGTACAATATAACATGAAAGAGAACGAAACATGTCTATTTATGACTCGAAGTGGTTTTATTTAGATTAAAGTGAATTCCCACACTTTTGTGTGTTACGAATTCACTTTAATGTAAATTCGTTTTTACATCGTATGAGTAATAATACTGTTCGTGCATACATTAATCCAGGAATGAGAAGCTATCATTTCCTCGGTGTATACTCGGTGGACAAGAAGGCTTAATTTTTATTTACTCCATTTCGTCCCCTCATCGTGGACCTCACATTTTAATCTATACTTTGCTTATTCCAAAAATTAAACTTGCCGCACTATACGCATACATGTTACTACCTAATTCGGCTTATATTTGTGATTTTGGCAATTATCATTTTAACGATGACTACGAACTAATGCTAGTGTTACTAAAGCTTGGTAGGCACAGTGGAAAGATTCTACGTATTTCCCAATCAATAAATTATTTCAATAGGCAAAGATTTAAGAATATAGTTTGGGTAAAACAATAAGATCCTGTCAATTCTGATTTATATATATCATTTGGCTTGATTAATTAGCTTAATAGATTATAATTGTTGGTCTAAAGGCCCGTTAATTTAATCGGGAAATATCGCTTGTATTTCTTAGAGACCCGAAGAGATCCTATTTCATCCCGACATGCACCGAGGAAATGTATGATTCTTATCTATGAATTGTTGCTATTGCAATCCTATTTTATGTAACCTCGGTGAAAGATAAGATGTATGGGATGTGTGCTAACCGATTGATATACATTTAATACTTAAATGTCGCGAGATACGTTAAGTATGCTACAAGAGCTGTCATGTAGTTCTTTCAATACTCGCACAGAGAAGACGCGGTGAAATTGAATGATAATGCACCAACTTTGCCCTGATAAATCCCAATTTGATGTATCAATGTCATTGAGACGTAGCTTAGGTAACGACGAGTCTATATACACGAGTATTTACAGGGGACGGGGAGGCAATTGTCGTAGATAACGTCGGACGTGCAGACTTTTCGCAGTAGGATCAACAGTTTCGCAGATGCCATTCGGATCAGCTAACTTAAATCCGCTGGAAAAAGTTTTGAGGATGCGAGGAGCGAGAGTGGACGTGTCTTTTGAGGAGTGATTTGAACATTCGATGAATCCCTGCCACCGTCTCCGGCGGGAAGGAATTGCGAATGGATTGTCTGGGAAATTTTATTTTACTTTCTATACTCTACGCAAAGATCCCAAAGCGTGACAGTGAAAGAAAGTTATCTCCATAGGGTTCGTCACAAAAATTGAAAGATTGGTTTTAACATAAGAACGAAACATAATTAAAAACAATGGTGCCAATTAAAATGTTTAGGTAGGAAATGTTTTTAAGAAGTATACTGGTTTAACCTATAGTTTCGTACAGTCCGATTAAGATGACTAGATCTACGAAATTATAAAAGCATATTGTCACGATATCGGGGTTTATCAATTCTTGCTACAGGAGAATCGATAATGAACAAGAAACGCGGCACGTGATTTTTATCGCCTGTAATCTATGAAATTCTATGAAAAATATTCAATTTTTTCATTTGCCCCTCTCCAAGTTCTTGGCATTTCCGAAAAAAAAAAAAAAAACGGTCTACAATAACTAACAAAACACCCTGCAGGCGGTTGTTTATCGTTACACCGTGTTTCTTGTTCATTTCGATTAAATCAAGACAGTCCTATGAAATCAATGAGTCTTTTCAAATTCGCCACCCCCTCGGACTTCTTGGCTCTCCTTGAAAGTAGATTTATAATTATCTAACAAAACATATTATCAAACTACATCTTTCCGTCTACGCTGCATTTCCCGATCCTGAAACTCGGCAGAGTCTTGCGCCAAGTACATACCATACCCTCATCCACGCGTACATACGCATGGACGTCACCGAGATCTTTACGACAAACTTCGGTATCGAGGAGTTATTCGCTCAGGAAATCATGGATTCTAACGCTCGAAATCATTTGCAAATCAGATAGAAATCGTAAACCTCTGTAAATCGTTGGAAATCACCGAAACCCTGTAACAATTTTAAAATCGAACGTCACTTCTTACCCAATGGCATTGTTGTTTATTGTATGAAATCAAAGGCAATCAGCTTTCAAAGAAGGAAATCATTTTCACCGATTTCCGAGTGAATATCCCCTCCTTCGGTACATACATCATTCGGCCAAATATCGGCCTTTATCGGTCGCCCCTTTATACATATGTATATAAATGTGTAACCCAGTGTTACGTTACAGGTGACATTCGGCCGATAAGAGTTAACACCTCAATTTCTCACGCCCCCCGGATCTACGCAAATTCCCTACCAAGACCATCCAATATGTCCTTCGGCTCGTCCCACCTCGAGGATTCTCGGTCTTTACTGCAGACCAGTTTCGGACAAATCCTTCTTGCCCCAACCATTGTGAGCACTGGTAGTCCTTGACAACTGGCCAGGACTCGTGACTGGACTTCTTGCAGGATAATAGACGCACGGTCCAGGACTGGCGGACCTCCCAGAGCCCTTGAGGCTTTGCTCGGAGTTGCCGTTCGAGTGGACGTTGTTGTTGTTCCTGCCGTTGTTCAGCCTGAAAAGATGGGATCGCCTCGAGGAGTTCCTCAGCTCGATGTTCGTCGTGACGACGGATTCCTCGTTCGTCTGGAACTCGGGGCTGTCCCGACCGGGGCCGAAGAATCTGGCGCTGCAGAATAACCCGAGAAATATCCGCTTGAACTTCCGCCCGAAGATTACGTAGATGATGAAGTTGATGCTGCTGTTGATGGTCACCAGCAGGTCCCCGGTCTGCACCAGCCACCCTGGGGGGTCCCGCCAAAACTTCTCGTACACGTTCGAGACTAGCGGCAGGATGTTGCAGATGATGAAGACTATCACCACGCAGAGCAACATTGTCGCCAGGCCTATCTCTCGGCGCTGGTGGCGGGACAGGTGCTGCAGCTCTCGGTTTGCTTTCCTCACCTAGAAATTCACGAAGAAGTTGTTACTTTCAATCTCCTTTAGTTGTTATTTCCAGCAGTTTCACTTATTTTTTTCAGGACTTTCGCCGGAATGGAGCCCGATGGCGACAACTTTATAGACTCGCGAAAGGACTGGAGATATAAATTTTGATACTATTTCTGGTGGTCCGTTTTTACGCGTAAAGGTGAACTTGTCAAGGGGAGACTTGGGAGTGCGTGTTACTTATATTATAATTCATACAAATTCTACGTTTTTTATTCGTACAGCGATTAAGAGTCGTGCAACTTTTGATCCGAGATTTTTGTTCATTTCACGTGTTTCCGTTCCGATAAAATGTCTGTTGAGAAAGTTGCCAAGGTGCCTCTAGGGCCTACATGAGTTTATATGACAACGTATGTGAGGGTATATTTGGCGAGAAACTCTACCGAGTTTCCTGATTGCGTTTCTTAAGTCCGAATATGTTACTTGTTAATTGGAGACGTAAGGTAGTTATTTTCGAGTATTTTAACGACAATAAAATGGATTAATATTATGAGAAAGCCAGTGGAGTCTGGGACAGACATCTTGGACAGAAAAATTCCACAAAAAGATGCAACAATTGCACGGGATTGTAGACGTACAAATCGGTTGATAATAAAATAGTTTATTCCGCCTTGAACCTCGTAAGCTGTAGACGAGCCTTTCTACGCCAGCCGTTCGGTATTTAAAGTGGGCTGGTTATTATTAAAACCAGGAAGTGCATGGCATGCTCCCAAAAGATTCGGCACCGAATTTTCACAGCGCAACTAAGTAGACTGCCTACGCCGACATAAAAAGAGTACAAGTCTTTTTAATTACACATTTCGGGTAATTTTTTAACAACCAAAGTTTAGGACGTGTTACAAATGAAAATGTTCGACTTCATTTTCCCTAGTTTAAATTCGTCTGTCGGTTGTGACAAAGAAAGTACCATTTCGAGTAGCCAGAAATGTTGAAAGTTGTATCGTATGCCGGTAAAATAACATTTGTAGTTAATAGAAGGATCAGGGTAACTTGTTAGCGAGATATTTTACATATTTTATTTTTGCTTAACCTCGTAGATTGCGTGGTTGATTATACTATGGTAATTGAATGCACGGCAAGCATAGGGCGACGCACGAATTTCCAGGGTAAATATTATTTAGCAGGGCAGGTAATGAATTTCACCACTCCGGAGTAGATTGCACCGGGAAATGTACAAATCCGTGGACATGGCAAAATTCACTGTGATTGAAAGAATATTACCAAAATAATAGCACTACCCTGTAGGAAGTCACATACTCGATTAAGTTAACATTTTATCGGGTCAAAATGAATAAAGGATCAAAAGTTCTATTAAAAAAATCGTAAATTCGAGTACGTACTTGTTGATCTCAAGAAACTTCAAGAAACAGCCCGACTTCTTACATGAGTATGACTTTATATTACATACTTTTAGGGTAATCTGTGGACGGTAGAGTACATTGGGATATTTCTAAGTCGACGATTGTTATTATTACAAAAGGGAAATTGCAAAACACGCATTCATGTTATAGATAAAGCAAAGTTATCCCGTTGTGAAATTAGTACACGTATTGGGATATGAAACGAATATCTTCCGTTGAATTTCTTAATATTTACTGAAATAATAAAGAGGGCTGAATTGCCGAGAAGTAAGTCAGGCGACACGGGGACGTATGTATATTTGCGAAAAAGGTAATTTATCGTGTTATTGGAATCCGGGGTTATTCTTGAATCGATTGTAGAGAAAAGCGGCGTGCGGACTATTTGGAAAAGAAGTCAAGGACAATGCTCATTCTCGTTCATTTTTGCCGGGGAAATTTATTGCCAACCCGTTTTGGAACGAGGTGCGTTCCAAATAACGAAGAGACGACTGGCTCATAATGGCCGAGTTAGAGAACCACGATCCCATTTTACTTCCTCGAGAAACCGACGAATCGCCCGCGCCCTTCTTTACCGACGAGATCGCGTTTCGGGTGAAAAAGTGTTATGTGCACCAATTCGTAAAATGTCTTTTATTCATTCTTTTTTAAAGCGGTGTGCTCGTTTGACGGAACTTCTCTAAGGACGAGCTTATAGCTCGAAAAGAATTTTCGTAACAATTTATGGATTTTAAGGGGTTACGAAACTCTTTGCTCTCGTTAATGTGCATTTCAAGATCTACATCAATGTTTTATTTATTAAGGTGATACTACTGCAATTATAGATAAAACAGAAGTAAATGGAGAACTTCCGAAACCTGGGGTCTTTCACTTGTGGCCGCTGACGTCGTCTCGGTTATTTCAGGGCAAGATACGTATTATCATTTCCGAGAGACGAGATTCCACGAAATGCTCCCACGTGGGTCGCAGTGAAACGCGGGGACATCTTTTTTAACGAGGTTCTGGGCGCTGTTGGACTCATTGTTTACGGTAGTATTTATATGGCTAGGAGGGACGTTGCTCTCTACTAAGGGGGAAAGAAAAGAGGGGAAAATACGCGAAACTTTCCCAGTAATAAATTTTCCAGGTATATTGCACCGGCGACGTTATCTCTTTTCTCGAAAATTAAGACTAGTTTTGAAGGTGCTACTCGAAGGGATGTTAACCCCTTTACATCGAAACGTCGTAGCTTGAAAACTGTTTTAGGATCGAAGTACACGAGTAGGATAATTGCTGAAGAAATTACGTGTGCACTTAAAATACTGCATGATTTTCCGAAAGAAAAATGTTTTGGATAAGGGGATTTGAAAGTGGCATTCGAGGGGGTTAATCGTTCGTTAAACTTATCTTCGAATTGGATGTACTTATTTGTTTCAAATTTTACCATATGAATAAGGAGACTCTAAGGTAGGTCCTGAAACTCGAGAGTTTAATTTTTTTTACAAAATTTGGAAAGTATGTGTAAACGAATTTTCTTAAAATTGAAATTTCATGGGTGTCCGGACCTTTCTTGTAGCCTCCACATATACCTTGTCAAGTTTGAAACGATTCTTTACACCCAGTTTGCAGAAAAGCTTCATAAACAAGGCCTCTTTGATGCCACTTTTCACATGACTTTAAAGAGAATGCTATATAAAACTGAAAAATTTGAAATATTCAGATTCCTTTGGAGAATAATTGAATTCGATATTGCAAATTAATTATGTCGGTAGTTAATTTATTTTTGGGTTGTGAGAGGGCACGTATGGCTTTCAATGCGAAGATTAGGTCGCCGGAAGATGACAAGGACGACAAGGAGACACCGTAACGAGCGAACCCGTGTTACAGTTGCACGTATGATGGATTAGATGTGCTTAAAGCAGTTAATCTTCGTCGCCTTGTCAAGCACATCTAGCCGCCTCTTCTGAATAGACTTCTCGGTTCGGTTAACCGACACTCTCGAATAAATACACGCTTACAAATTCCCTGTGTCCTGACTTGAAAATTTTGCCCGATGACATTCCCTACGATATGTCACAGGTTAAATTTGCCCGAGGGGGGACAAGCGTAAAAATGTCAAATTATAAAAAGGGAATGTGAAAATAAAAAAGGGGGAAGGAGTCTTCCTGGCAGACTTCCACTTGCAAAATTGGACTGGCGTCGCGATAAAAGAAAAAAAAAAAGAAGGAATTTCTTTCACAAAATATTATTGGCACTCGGTGCAGTCGGGAGAAATCGATTTGCAGCTGCAGTCGCCACGTTAAGCACCAAACTTGCAGAAACAACAGGAAATATTTTACTTTTCTGTTGGCGAGTCCTAGTTTTTTTTTTTTCTTTTTTATGTTCCCCTGAGAGGTTCCTTGAAAATGGGTTCCTGAGAGTAGACGAGAAAAACGGAGCGAGGAGTCAACAGAAAATTTCACGCATCGCTGAGACAGTTGATGAGAAAGTACGTAACATTTTCGAAGATATCGGAATTTGTTGGATTAAGGATTCAACAAATCCATTTGTGCATCTGGTTTTTGAGAACACTGCGAATAAGATTTGCAGAAACAGTGAATGTTTTACTCTTCCTTTGACAAATCCTGTGTTTCTCTTTTTATTTTACCAAGAAGTTCCACAAAAGCAGAAAATCGCTTCGTACACCGTGAAGAAAAATTCCTTTGGTTCGAAGGAAATGATTTCTTTGAATAATGCTCGTTTGGATAAAATGAGAGTGGTTCGGTAGAAAGAACGTGTAATTACTTCAAAGAAATATTTCTTTTTCATTTAAAGAAACGATAGCATTCTGCGAATTTCATTAAAACTGTAAGGTGTTTAACTGCAACAAATCACCGTGGAATATTGTATTTGATCGATTGAAAGACATGGTTTCTTAGGTATGAAAACATATATTCATTTCATGGAACCGAGTAACACAATTTCTGAATAAGAAAATGTTGGTCCTTTCAAGGAAATTATTTCTATTAATGTAATTAAAGAAATGGAACATATAGTTTTGATTTCTTACTTCATTATCTTAAGATATGAAGTATTCGATCAATGCAAAGCATCAAAGTTAACCCTTATCACTCCAAGAATATTAGAAGTGTATAAGAAATTGACAGTATCACTGACGGTTGGTGTGATAAGGGTTAAACATTCAGCATTTTGTAGTGAAGACTGAATTTCTTGGATTTTGTGCTACAGTTTCTTTAATTCCATTCAAAGAAATAATTTTCTTGAAACAAACGATTTTTTTTTTCTTGTGTACGAATAGGAGAAACGGAGGAAAATTCGTGTATCGCGTTGTATGAAAATTCGTGAACATTGGGCCAAGCTTGCGACAAAGGAAGTATTTTCCTTCCCCGTTGACGAATCGTGCTTCTTTTACATCGCTAAAAAGTCGCACGTAAAACGCTGCCGCGCGTAAACAAAAAATATGACAGAAATCAGGGGACATTTTCATACACCGCGAACACAGGAGGCGAAAATATGGGAAACCGCGCAGTCGTTATAATTCGACGGTCCCCTTTTTCGCGAACTGGGTTACACTTAGTCGTTTACTTGCATTCTTTCTTTTCTTTGAAGTCTGCTGCACATTTAAGTCGCCTCTGTTTAAGACAGTGGATCGATGTCAGAGACGGTTTTGCTTTTCGAAAATCATCGTTTCTTTTTCCGCATCCTAGAAGCTAACACCGAAGATAAGGAAGAAACCTGACCGTGGTAATGGATCGAAGAAGATTCGATAATCGAATACCGTCGAAGCGTTATTGAGGATGACAAAGGGTCTTTCTTGAAAGAGAGGGTGCTTTTATTTCCAAGACTTTCGAAGACTGGGAAGGCATGAAATGAAATTATCTGCGGTTCGCCGGAAATAACGAGGAAAATGTAAGGAGATAGCGCCTCTTCCGAGCACTTCTTACCTGCGATCTAAACTCACCTGTCGAGGGGAATTAATGGAAAATTAACGCACAAGTTGGAATTGATTATTCTCTGACACCTCCACCTTCTATCTTTGTCCACTAACGATAAAAGTCGTATCCAAGGAAGGGAAGCTGACGAATTTTCGTTCCAACAATTTACCAAATGCGTACAAGTACCCGAATTTTGCAGTATAATTGGTGAAACATTGTAGCTTTTAGATGCTGACAATTTTACTTCAGTGTAAAAGAGTGAAAGTATTTTTGTCTTTAATGTAACATAGAATTTTCCCCTGTCACTATACGTGTGAAATAGTTATTTTATTTCGAAGATAGACTTATCGTCAGTTTGAGGTCGTGGGAAGGATTCGTAGTATCGAATTTGCAATTTTCTGCATAGTCGTTCTTTTTTTCCATGTCGGATTTATCGCTCCTTTCCTTTACCATCGGAGCCAACTCCGGAGATAAATAAGTAACTTGATCGCAGTAATGGAACGGAAAAGATTCGATAATCGAACGCAGCTAAAGCCCCACCACGGACGACAAAAGCTCTTCCTTGCAAAGACTCCGTGCTGTTATTATTCGATTTCAGTGGATCGGAAAGGCGTGAAATTAAATTCACAGTACTCGGGAATCATGCCAAATATGTAAAACCATGTACCGGCCTCCGAGATATATTTTACAATTTTCTACGGCAAAAAAAAGATGTTGCGATTCCCGAGGAAAGCCTAAATCTACGTATTTTTTATGTCAACATATTCTTTCACCTTGTCCGCAGAATTTCAGTATTATCACAGTTAATACAGCTTCCTGAAATTAATTCTATTTTTGTAGTAGGTGGGAAATTTTATCCTTTGTTCAACGTTTTCTTCACCGTTTGCGTTTATCGGGAACAGCAATGATCGGTTTTGGGAAATAAACAATGGTCCGTTTAAAGATATATACATACATATATATATTTTTTTTCTTTAATAGCTGTAATATCTACCTTTAACGTTTCTCTTACCCTTCTGTAGATGGCGAAGTTGAAGATGACCAAGCAGCCAAATGGAAATAAATAATAGACGAAGAAGTACATCCAGTGGACGTATAGGGTGACGTATAATTCGCTCTCCCGTAAACTAGCTGGGATGATGCAGGTCACGGTTACGTTGTATTTCCAGTGTATCTCCGTGTCGAAGTCAACTTCCCAGTATCTAAACGAAATTACAATCATTTCTCGTGATACCCTTAACATCCCTGTGGCCTTAAATGCGATTACGTTATTGCCACACCCGGTAAAGTCAGTTAAGCCCCTAGACTTAAAACGGTAAATGGGCCAATCACAGAATTGAAGTGCACAAGGATAAAATGGGTTCCTTAAATATATACTATACTGACATAATATACACTTTCTCACATTAATAAATATTACCAGCAACTTCCAACACAATGGGATTGTCGTGACATCGTTATCAAAGCTTAAGGGGATGTGAAAATGGGGGGGTCAATAGTTCGTGAAAGTTTTTTCCAAATTGGGTGTACCAATTTCTTTCAAATTTTACCACATGGATAAGGAGACCCTAAAATAGGTTCTGAAACTCGCGAAATTTCATTTTGTAAAGGAAATCTGAAAAACAGCTATAAACAAATTATCGTAAAATTGAAATTTCGCAAGTTTCAGAACCTCTCTTAGGGTCTCATTATTAATGTAAAATTAGAAACAAATTGGTACACAAAGTTCGGAGATAAGATAAAAATGCGTTTGTCTGTTTAAGGACATTCGTTCATCGCATGAGTGTCGGTTTCAAACTCGGGGACATTCTATTGGTACTAGGGAGGGTAATTTATTTTTTCAATATACAATTTGTATTCACCGGGAGTCTTACTTGGACAAATTATAAATGATGGAGACGATGACGATGCAGATCACTGCTATTCGTGCTCGTCCATAAGTGCAGAAGGACCTCGCCTTCAAGGGATGGCAGACTGCCACATAGCGTTCCATGGTGACTGCCAATGTTAGGTAGACAGTTCCCATCTGGACGATGCCAGTCAGCGGGTACAGGAACTTGACGATCTTTGGATATACCAAGAACTTGTACTCGAACAGAAGCCCCGTGTACGAGTAAATCGCCGGCAAGCCGAAAGTGAGCACCTATTTAAAAAAAAAATGTGCGCGAATTAAATTAATTACGTTTTTAATCACTAATATTCCTATAGTTCTTAGAATTTGTATGACGCATTCGGCTAAGCCTTTGGTATCGAACTGCGGTAAAAATTTGTAAATGGTACTTTGTCTCCACGTCGTGATATATTTTTCTATCATCGGACAGATAACGATGTTATAAATTAAGATAGATTGATGTTGACTTTTCGAGATTTTTTTGAGATTTTAGATGAAATCTCTCTTCTGGAGATTTCATTAAGAAGATTCCCTTTATCCTCATATCTTCTATTAAAACTACTTTGCTTTTTGCGTCGCTCCACTGTTTGCAAGTCGTGGGGACTTTCATTTCCACTTTTTAAATGAATCTCCCTCTAAACACCTGTTTTCATCCTTGTCTCATACGAACCGGCCCTAAAAAGTCTTAATGCCGTGGCGAGAACAAATTTCTCTCTTTTACCTCCGTCTAATTCTACACATCTTTTTATTACCCTAAAGTCTGTACACAAGAACGGTTTCGTCAGTTCATTTAATTTAGGAATGGTCACGGCATTGTAAATAAAATACGTAAAATGATGAAGTACTCATTTATGGTAAATGTTAAGCCCTACACCTCATGTATCATTTTTTCTACCCACTAGCATAACTAGAGTAGTTTGTTTCTCGTTGACAAGATGTTTTCTATCGGCAGTAAAGGGAAGTGTTAGTAGGCGAATCTCTCTGTTTTTTAATGAAGAAGTGAATGGTCAGGAGCAAATTCAATTTAATCCGAGTTTAGTTGTTAAATACCCTACTTAAAGACCGATGAACAACACACATTGCTTAGAGGCGAAATTTTAAAACCTATTGTGGTGGGTTTATACTCCATTCATAAGTTCTAAGATTAATTCCTCCTTCAAATTGTTATATGCTATCATATGGTAATGAGCATCCAAACAATTACTCATATCGAACCCCCACTTTTTTTCTATTTCCAGTTGCACGATTCCTAATATATTTCGAATTATTTTACAAAACTAACCGTGACATAATTGTTTAATTCAGTACATTCTCCTCTTCGAATTAGAAGAAGATATTTATTCGACGTAAACAATGTTCGCCGATGTTTTTAAACTCAATGTATCCAAACTCCCACGATCGATTGCATTTTCAAATTAAAAAAAAATTGCTTACAAATACTGACTGTATTTTGATAATTTATTATTTTTAGATATAGTAGAAAAGTTTGATCGGTTGACGTATCATTACCCCGGGATTTTGAGGAGCGTTAATAAGTTTGTATAAATAAAATGCATACTCACCGAAGTTATGATGAGTACGGTGTCGCACCTGGCTAGCCAAATCAACAGGTAGTTAATCGAGGACTTCATCTGTGGCCTCGAGAGTATAATCATAGAGATGAGATTCCCAAAAAGACCGAAAATGCCCACCAGGTTTAGGAGGATCCCATTGGTCACGAACTCGAAGAGTGCACCCTCCTTGAGAGGCTGCTTGCACTCAGTAATATTAATCGGAAAGTTGGTTGCAAAGTTAGCTGCAAAACTATTAGTTAGGTTTCCATGGTCCGCGGTAATATTAGACCGAGCGTCAACCAGGTCCATCATTTCGAGATTTCGCGCGATTTCGGCTTTTCTCAAAATTGACCTCCTCGCTCACGTGACCATCCTGTCCTTTCAATCGAACGATTTTAGATCTCGATTTCGATTCACCCATTAGTCTCGACAAGAGCCGTAGCGGGGTTTTCGGATCATCGAAAACCGACGTTTCGATCACCACTGTCAATTCGCGGAGGATTATTGCGAATATAGTATGTCAATTTATTACGTATCGAAAAAAAGGAATATCGATTGTTAAGAGAATTTTCTTTTCAGTGCTTCTCGACGTATTTCCTAGGACCGAAAGTATTGCATTGTTTTCTATGAAGTTTCCGAAATCGATCCTTTTAATTATTCTATTTTCCTTATTAAATTGCTTTACAAGATCGACTCGAAACAGAATCGTCATATATAAAGTACTTAATATCCGGAACTCTTGATCTTGTTTTACCATCGGTTCAATATAAAGTACTTAAAGATTTTGAGAGAACTATGCAACAATTGATTTTCAAGTTTCCATTTTCACTGTGCAACATTTCGCGAGGACGGAGTTGTGATTTGTTCTGCTAGGAGCGCTTCGTTGAATACCTGCAAAGATAAAAAAAACAATTGTTAATTTCTATCGTTAAGGCATCATTTGTTATGCGGATATGAAATGTAGACATTTCTCGAAAAACCTCACGTACATTCGGCAGGCGTGAAAAAATTCATTTGAATTTTCGTTAGAGAAAATGATTTCAAGATGACGTAGACGAGTAGACTAGCACGAGATACAATTAACCAAAAGAAGTGTTTTTTTTTATACCCAAACAAAGTAAACGTAACGAGCTTAGAAATCTTTGATCGATTAGCCCCTGTCAGAATAATACTAATTTTACATATTAGTGGATTTACATTTTACGGGAAGACCTCTCGGCCAATCAGAGTGCGTCCACCTGTAACCCGAAATAGCGCCCACCACGAAGGCGCATTCGAATTGCTGGTCGACCATCAATACGCTCGTTTTCCAGGGCAAAATTTCCCGGGCAAAATCGGATGCGGCTTCGGGTCCAGCTGGATTCACTTAGTTGGAAAACGAGCGCGTCCAATTTGCGGGGAGGAACGATTCGCCGATTCTCCCAGAGCGATAGCTCGTGTCGAGTATACGTATAGAGAAACCGAAGGGCATGGCCGAGCGGTCGCTTCCGCGTGACATTTCCCGTTTCCGCGAATCCACGCGAATTTCCACGAGGTCGGATCGCCGGTGCGCGTCACCTGTTAAAATCACCTGCGATATGTCAATTAGTCACGGACGGCACTACTCCCCTCCTAATTTCCCACTTAAGGCCCTCGCTTAGGAGCACCCGCTCGAGTTGGCCTTACCCAATAAACCGAACGACCACTTCCCGATAAAACCCGACAACCCTAATTTTCTTCCCTTATCTGCGCTGCCCTGCCCTTCGACTCTTAACCCTCCATGGGAGCTTCGATCCGGTGCTTTATCATCGATTATCGCACGAGTGTAAGATCAATCGAGGGATCTGATACACGGGGATGAATGGTGCAGGGCGGCTGATACGCGGTGTCAATTGAGAATGTATTTTGCGAAGGTTGCCGTTACGCTGATAACAATCCGTGGAAATTTACATACATTTTTGCGCACTTCTTAACCTACGTTGCACGTACAATAACGTAAAACGGAAGAGTGGCAAAATGGAATGTGTATAAATACACCTAACATTGGATATTCACCGTATTGGTGCACTCTTAAGTACAATAAACGAAAACAGGCTAGCTTCCAGAAAAGTAGACTTAGCGAAGAAAAATTCACACTCAAGGTAAACGGTTGCGGATAAAGGAAATAAATTAAATTCCTGTAAATCTAAATCACTACCTAATGACGATACAGAATTCAAAGTGTTTAAACTNGAAATTAATTCGTTCAATTTAGAGAAGCTCCAAAACAGGAAGTTCACGAGAAGCAACGGAGTTAAGTTCAACCTTCCCGTTGTTTGAAAAGTCGGGAAGCCGAGGTTCCTCGGTCCGCGTTAAAATGTATTATATGTAAAATGTAAAATGTATGCGAAGAAAAATTCACATTCAAGGTAAACGGTTGCGGATAAAGGAAATAAATTAAATTCCTTTAAAATAAATTAATTTCCTGTAAATGTAAATCACTACCTAATGACGATACAGAATTCAAAGTGTTTAAACTGCGTCAGTGGCCAATAATATATCGAACTTAATAGATGAAATTAATTCGTTCAATTTAGAGAAGCCACAAAATAGGAAGTTGACGAAAAGCAACGGAGTCAAGTTCAACCTTCCCGTCGTTTGAAAAGTCGGGAAGCCGAGGTACCTCGGTCCCCGTTAAAATGTAAAACTGAACGAATGAAAACGAGCTTCCCTACAATCCCGGTAAATTGGCCGAGCACCCCAGGAGGCTCGTAATCGACTCCCACGCTGGAGGCAACCCGAAATGCCCCTCGCTGATGATTACGAACAAGTCCAGGACTGGGAATGGCGCTTCATGGTTCGAAGATTTACTACACGTGACGTCAGCAGGCGCGCGTTAACTTCGAGGTTAGGTTGGCGCAGTTTCGGTGCGCGATTTCCCTTTTCCCGTTTCCTTCCCCTTACGGACTAGTCCGATATCGATTATCGATCGTTACGGAGTAATGGTTGCCGGTAAGGTGGGCGCACCGATTAATCATTGCTTCGTACGTAATGCGGCGATACCGGAGAGGAATCCGCACCTTGAAACTCACGCCGATAAGCCCTAATCTCCCGGCATCGGTGTACGATTTGTCTTTATCAATTAGAATTACACCCTCGGATCTTTTCTTCGGAATGGGAGATAGACGTGTGAAAATTTACGTATCACATTTTATCCCATGTTTAATGTCGGAGGGTGGCAATGTAGAAATTCTATCCGTAGAATGAAGTATCCTGCGTAAGAACGTGTACCAAAAACGCATGCAGAACGCACGTAGCATTTAAGGCCATCATAAAATAAGTAGCAACATGAAGCAACCGTAAGCATAGCCAGATCAGTTAAACATAAGCCAGAAAAGCAGCTGGCTTAATGTTATGCTTACCCTGAGGAAAAATATTAGCTAATTGACACAAACATATATTGCTGGCGGGTATATTGTTGCCTGAATCATATGGAATTGCAAGAAATAATTATTCCGTTGAGAAGAAATATTGATGTTATTGATTTAAAATAATGTTGTTTACTCAATCTGACATTTCTTTTGATGTACATGATTGCAGGAGTAATTGTTGTTCTCAGTGTATGGGTACTGTTATGCGAGGTATATGTCGCAGCCTTTATTTCGCAAAACAAAGCATATAATGAAACAAATGTCTTCCCTATGTGCATAGGTATGCACAAGTACGTGGATAAATTAAATGTTTTTTGAAGCATTTGCGTGCTCATGCGTGATTGGTGCACGGGCTGACTAATATTCTGATTGATAAAGACGCGTACACATTTGAGCGCAAACGCGTACGCAGGACAAATGACATCTACAAAAATGTCTCGATTGTTGCCTCAGATGATTTCATTCGCAATTAAAAATTCAAGTACATATCAGAACACGAACTCGTACAAAAAATTCGTTTTGCCCCATTTTGCCTCGTACGTGTCGCCTTCAGATGTGTACGCGCGTATATGATGCGAGATAGGACAAATGACATCTACAAAAATTTCTCAATGTGGTAATGAGTATCGAACGTATTTGCAGAAAGAGTAAGAAAAGGAGAGTGTAGATAATACAAGAAGAGTCGTTACAGAATCTGCGTCTTTAATGCGTAATGTATTGAATAGACTTGTGACCTAGCCCAACAATATTGAAGAGGTCACTGCATCGGAAAGCTTTCATAATGGTTGTTATCTCCTGTCGTTAATAACTAGATACGTATTTTGCACCTTGATTTCATGAGCGGAGCATTTTTACGACCAAGTTTTACCAAATTTGAAGAAGAATGTGGTCCAGATTGCGAATCGAATAGGTATCGCCAATTTCGTCCATTGTGCAGATTTAATTGGGTAACCAGGCAATCGCATCAAATTCAGTATAACTAGTTTCATTGCACGCGTCCGTTAACCTCAATGCATCAGTCGATTTATTCGCTTTTGTACGATCGTTAATAAACCGTGCGTATGATGTGCTAACGAAAAGCCTGCCTCAAGTTTATTTGATTTTATGTAATATAAATTGCTCTTGAAGATACGATATTTGAAGATTGATCATAGTTGAATATTTAGGTAATTCACTGTCTTTGGTTCGTTAAAAGAAAAAAATACGAGTTTTTAATCGAGTAGTAATTTAAACATTTACTTTTGGTAATTTTCCGTGAAGTTTTTCTCAAACATTACGGATGTCTCTCTATAATAGTGGTGAAATCTGTAGGAACAATTAGGTTAAATGTTTAAATGAGATAAGAGAAATGCTCTAAGTGACATTTAAAACAGGTTAAGATGAAATTACGATTGTGCGTATCGGAGATTCAATTAAGGGGCGAGCTCCAACTGCACCCATTTTGGTTTGAAAACGTTACATTGGCTTAATGACAATTAAGGCCAACGATAGGATGCAATACCGCATAATTAATCGTTTAATGAAATTACTGGTAGATATGTCTAATAGATACTATGAGGTTTATACGCAGAGCAGCCAACATGTTTAACAACGAATTTCTTGGATCCGAACGAAAAATTCGGCAAAATATTAGAGGAATTGTTGACAAGTTTAGCACGTGTATTTATTTAATTACAAACGTTTAAATACAAACTTCTGTAGTCCAATATGAAATATGTATTGAAATTCTAAACATTTATATGCATTTATTTATACAGTTATTACTGTTTAAATGTACGAGGGTGAATTTTAATTATTGCATAAAAAGATTACAATTTTAATCAATCGAGTTTGGTTGTCTGACTAATTTTCGGCTCGTATCACTTAACTTTTCTTACTTACATCGTGCATTATTCTTCTTCATGACATGAAACTTTTTCAAATTGTTGATTACCAAGAGAAATAATAATTCTTTGGAACGTATTGATGCTCCGTTAAACAATAGTTTTTCCACGTACCAGTCCAATCCAAGAGGGTTCGGTAAATTTGTAACAAATGCGTTGAACGTGTATATACGTTAATGACTCCTCGCGGATCTATTTTTGGATCTATGTGCATGAATGAGTGAGGTAATTCCTACGTCACAAAAAGAAATAAACATCGGGGAATAGCAAAGTCCAACATATTGACACACAATTTAAAAGCCCTATCGTTTGTATTCGACTGCATAGCTCGGATTAGTCAGCAATTAAAAATACATCTCGCGATGACGTTTTGCGAGCTTGCTGTTACATTTCTTCACCAACATCTTACTACAATCAGTTGAATGACATCGAGGAGTATCTATTCCATTTTTGATATTATTAACGATAGCATGCTGGTAAAATTCGTTTATCTCATATTTCCATAAAAATGTATGGAACATTCACGAGTCTTATTTACTATTCTGGTGTATTTGTTGGTATTATTAGAGGGCTGGTGACGTTATTTGGTGCGGCGAAAACTGGCAACTGTCTCGGATCT